TCCACGCTTGATCCATGTCATTGAGTATATTTGGTGTGGTGATCATTGAAGGTTGAGTCGCGACTATGCATGTGACAAAAGCCGCTTTGGTTCCTCATCGATATGCGAGATGGATCAAATTGTTATTAAAGGGAAGTTTATTTTAATAGCATTGAGTTGTGAACTAAATAATAAATTAATATAATTGTTAGTAAAGAAAATTGTTACCGAAGTGGGAGATTGTTGGAATTAATTTAATAATTAATTCATATGTGGGTAACAAATTAAACAACAATTATATTTGGGCTATTTAATGGGCCTATGAGTAATCTTGATTATGGGGCTCATGACTTCCCATTTAGTGGTATGACTTGTTGGGTAGAAACCAGTTCATTAATCCTAGGGATTATGGGAAACCCTAGGATTAACCTATAAATATATGGTTATGGTCCATAATACACTATGCTTCTTGAGCCTCCCGTTCTCTATCAAATAGGGAGTATTGCCCATATTTAGTCTGGGTTGCATAGTTGAAGAAGACCACAAACCACAACTTCTTGCAAATCATGGTCAATCTATCTAATGGTTTTAGGTAATTTTAATCTCTTTATAGATTTTGGTTTTCTTCCATGCTTAAATCCTTGGTCTTGATTGTTCTGTAATTTTATGGCTGTTATTTTAGAATAATCATGAATTAGTATTTGTTTAAATTTTCCAACAAGGCTTGAATTGTAAGTGTTGTTTCGTTGGCCATGATTTCTTTGTAAACTGATTCTTTTGTAAGCTATGATTATTGAAAGGATTAAAGCTAGGATTGAAAGGATTATATCTAACCAGGAGCCCTCACCCTCGTGTAAGCTCTGATACCATAAGAAAAAATGATGAATCCTTGATTTATTAACAAAAGAATAACTATTCTCATTGAATACAAGGAGGATTCATCCTCTATTTAACTCCACAAGGATGAAGATAACCAGAAAAGGAAAGATAATAAAACAATAGACAAAATCCTTAATTGTCCAAAATAAAAAAGGTAAGAGGACAAATTAAGAATGTGTCAATGATTTTAATTACAAAATATATACTAATTAAATTAATTACAAAATATATACTAATTAAATTAAAAACAGAAAGACACTGACCAACAAATCTGCGCAATTGCTACCGTTATGGGTGAGAATTTGCTGATCGATATGAGGAATTTTAGGAAATTCCACCAAATTCCAAATTTCATTAAATTTCAATGAAGCCACAATTTTAGAGATTGTGAAATTGACACGTGCTCCAACGCGCGGCAGCTTGTGGAGCTTTGAAACTCTCGACCATATATTTCTTTACTGTCCTTACACACGTTCACTTTGACATCAGCTGTTTTGTAATTTCAGCCTTATCTTCTCCTATTCAAGGCCACATCGAAGAGTTCATCACAGAAATGGTATCTTCCCCTCTATGCAATAGTTGTAATATTCCTTGGTGCAATAGTTTCGTCTTGGTCTTCTAAGTTTACTTTCTTTTGTAACTATGATATCTCATCAATCTCACTTAACTGGAGTACTTTTATTTAGCCCCTCATCTCTTTCTGTATGTATGTTTCTCACATACTTGAATGAATGGTTCTGATATCTTTTAACAAAAAAAAAATAAATTGAGAGGGAATAGATTCAAACCCCATAATGACCACGTATAGTTTGATACCTAAAATACAGGGACCAAAATAGTATTGTAACCTATTTATTTTGTTTTGTTGTAATTGTGTACTATATGCACTCTTCCGTCGTGTGTTGTATTGTTTTGGAACATTCTCTATCTATATATATATATATTTTTATTTATTTACTTACTTACTTGAGTACACCATTCTTAAGTTTAACTCATTAAACTATGGAGTAAATTTTTCACCATTATCATGTCAGTTTGAAAGGGTAATCTAGGATGAAGTGGGTGTTTGTAATTATAATTATTTTTATTTTAGTAATTTTATAATTATAATTATTTTTATTTGGTTGATTATTAAATTTTAGAAATATTTGTCTAACTAAATATATTACACTAATCTAGAAAACCACTTTTAATTAGATGATAAATACTTTTTGAAAGAGTATAACTAAATAACTGACTGTTTTATTATGAAAAGCACCCTATATCCATTACAAATAATTTTAACAAAAGCACTTCTCATCGAAAACACACATCTTTTACGGTTTCAAAATCCAAGGACCAATGACCAGACAATAATCCACAAAACGTGTGTACAATCACAAAAATTATAAGCAATATGAGAACAAGAATAGAAAGGCTTTTAGCGATCGGAGATCTGTACTTCTTTACAAACTTTGCCACCTTAATCCTCCATTTGCTGTTGTAATATTTGTTTAGTTCTTCAATAATTTCATCCATATCTACCCATGCTGGAAGATTTAGAACTAGACCCCGTCTTTGATGATTCACTCTTTGGAGCTAATTTGGTAAATCCATTAAAGAGCTCCATAACTTCTTCATCACTCTCTAAATTATTGATGATGATGTTAGCTTTCTCGAGAATCTTGACATCGTTGGAAGTTGAAATTAATCCATTCATCATGGCTGCATATTGGGAAAGAAATGGTGGATTAAACTTGGCAATGACTTCAAATGCTACTAGATTTCTTAATATTACTTGGGTGGTGGAATCTAATGTGATGGCAGGCAGCTTAATAGAACCCTTTTTCTTGCTAAATGTAATGCCTTGGAGACAATTTGTTGGCTTAAAATTCACTCCAAATTTCTTCAATTTCGAGGCCGAAGGGACCGTAGGAAAGCCATCCTCGAGCGACGATGGTTGAACCAATATTTTAAGTAATTCTAATAAAGATTGGATCAAGTCATTGGAATCTTTCAGTAATTATTCTGGGCTTATCTGCAAAAGTGACCCCAATATCTTGTAGCAAATCCATGGGAGATTCATCATTGCATCTTTACGTAATAACCGTTTCCTTATCACTTTTTCCTGGTTCAAAATTAAGATGTATAAAAAATGTAGTAAATGGTGAGAGTGCTCGAAAGTTTGAGGAATTTTAGGAAAAACGGTGTTATTAGCGATGAGATCGGGATGGAAAAATAAGCCAAATGGCGAAACCAAGACGCAAAATTTGTAAAGTTGGATAGGCAAATCATTGGTAATCTGGTTTCCTGCGGAAATTTCTTTGAGAACACAATGGGATTCGATTCTCCACCATCAAAGCGTCGCACACAATCTCATCTGGACCCACTAGACTTGCTTCGTGATTGAGGTACAACTTTTGGTGCTCAGCATCAAGCTCAGGCAATGGAAGGTCGTGGCGTTTAAGATAAAACTTTACTTCCACTTCAGCAAAGATATGAAGCAAGCGAATCAAGAACAAGCCATCGATGAGCATTATCCAGCTCAACGTCTCGCATTCCACTTCCAAATATTTGTCGAAACATGCTCGGATTTTGAGCTCCAATGGCTTCAGTTTATCACTGACAAGTTGGTGAATTCAGAAAGTTGGATCTGATCTTTCACCTACTTTACTGCATCGAGCTTGTAGGGCTCCAACTTGAGCAGCTCCGAACGAAAATGGTGATATGGTCCCAAAGTAATACGACGAGGAGTGAAAGCTTCTGGAGTTTCGTTTCGGATAGAATCCGGCACCTGAAAGATGGAGGTTGGACATTCAGAAGTTGTATGAAAGTCATCTCGTTGTAGAAGCTCTTTGATTTGCACAACCCACTCTGTTTCTTCAAGATTTGTGCTTAGAATTGAATCTGATGCCATTGCCAATGCTATCCTGATCTTCAATTGGTGATGTTTAAGCCATTATATGCATGCCTCAGTTTTATCAAAGTCTTTATTTATTAAATCCAATGCATTGACTTATCAAAGTCTTTATTTATTAAATCCAATGCATTTATTTATTGAAGTCTTTTATTTATTGTTGCACCTTTTTTTATTAGGTAATTAAATTACAAATTTTACTTCTTAACCTATGTTTTTTGGGAAGAAACTTCTTAATTAACCTATGTTAGTTGTCTGAAATATTTAAACAATTTAAAATCGCATATCAGATAAATTATATTTTTTTTCTTTTATTTGGCACCCTGCATAGCAAAGAAAAATGACAAAAACAATTAGATTGATAAATTAGAATGATACTTCTATCAGAGGTGACGTGTCATTTCATTTTGTTCATCTATACTACGTTATATTGTATTGTGTCAAGTTAGACATATATTTTTTCCAACAAAAGATGGTGTGAAAACGTACATAGATTTATAATAGTTTGAAATTAAGTGACATAATTAAAGCGTTTAAAATTTTAATAATCAAGTTTTTTTTTAAATGGAGAACTAAATTTAAATTTTAAAATTTTAACTATTTATTAATTTATTAATTGTTTTTCTTTGGGAGGGAAGAAAAAAGACGATGAGGTCTTTTTTTAATAATAATTTTACAGCAGAGCATTAGAAGACAAGACCACGTGGATCAGTTAACTGCTAATAATTTTATGCCTAAGATCCAAACAATATTTAAATCCCTTTTTATTCTCAAAACTAATATTTAAATATTTAATATTTTTATTTATGAGATTAATGTTTAACACGTGGTGGGAGAGAAGGAGAAATACTTCTTTATTACTTCACTCACACCCACTACAAAATACTCCCTGTGAAGTATAAAGACATAAACTGAAAATATTAACAAACTAACAAACTGTAGTTATAACAAAATACTGAAACTCTAAGTATATACACGTGTCTTCCCCTATAAAGCAAATCCTTTTATAATTTTATCTATTTAGAACAAATTCATAAGACAACCATAAACCAGAACATATCTAATTGAATCAGATCGGACCATTGAACTACAGCGAACCAGATAAGTTAGACCAGACCAAATGGTGAACCGGATTGACTGAACCAATCGGGTTTGACCAACCCAAACCCGCCCCAGACGAACCGGACCAACTGAAAATCACACATGCAGAGCGCCTAGGTGCTGATACGAACGCGTAACTGTAGAAAAATACATGCATCACGATCGTCTTTAAAAATAACACCAACACATGATTCAAACTAATTCAAGTCATGTTTTGACAAAGATCAATATGAAACTAAGCATGTGTTACAGAAAAGTCCAAATTTTATGAAAAAATCTGGCTCTCATACTAATGTGGGGCAAGGCTAATTGTGAGGTCCTGCCACAGACAATTCCATTTCTACTACCTTTGGTAACACCACTACATCATGTATGTTTTATCTTGAGACTTGGCATAATCGTTTGGGTATCCATCTTTTCAACGAGTAGACTTACTCAAGGACGTATTACATTTTTTTGATTCTTGTTCGAACTCTAGCTAGTTATATCCAATAATGTTATTAGTGAAATTAAACTCAATATATCACAAATACATTACTTTGGAATATATGAATAACAAATTAGGATTTGCTTCGGTGTACATTAGAAATTGCTAACTGGAAATGTATAGGTCAAGATTTAATATAGTGGTAAGTGATGAATACAAACGTTGTCCTCTATATTAAGTTCTAGCACACTTAAGTACCATAGATATAGTCGCTCAATTGAATTTAGAAAAATATGGAATTAGAATAAAAATAAATAAATCAATGCAAATAAATGATAAAGAGAAAACCCATAGGAAGAAATTCTTTGAGAATTTCAATTTATGAACCAATTAATTAATTACTAGATAAATTAACTGTTAATTCTATAGGTCAAGAACTTTCAACTCTGAACTACCTCTTTCGAACACAAATTAATTCTCTTTGCTAATTAAGAAACCAATATTCATACTCTAGTTTGAATAATAAACAAAAACTTTAATGTAATGACCTTGTATATAAAAAAAAAAAGTCTTTTAAAGACCAGTAAAGAATTTTTAAATCTCACCATTTCAAAACTTACTCAATTATGCATCCCAAATCTGATTCTAAATCACCTCTCTAGCTCGAGTATAAGATATTAAGTCAAAGATCAACAAAGCATCAAGTTACTACGTAATACTAACCGACACTTAATTTTGATGAGATTTTCACGAGACTAAATTGTTACCATTCTTAAACGCAAACACCTAATTAGTATTGTTGTTTGTGACGCTATACAGAAAGCACATGCAAAACTCTAGAGCAACTAAACCAACCACAAGATGTACGTAGAACAACCACAACAATGAGCAAAATCACAAGAATAAGAAAAATCACCTTCAATATTGGATTCACAAACCTCTTAATGAATCTCTTGGCTTTCACCTTCCAGCAGCTTTCGTAATAGAAATTGATGTCTTTAACGATTTGAATCTCAGCCATCTCCATGATTCTACCAGAGCTATAACTCATCTGCTGGTTGTGAAGTTCCAAGAGATTTCTCAGCCCATCAAACAGTTTCACCACCTCTTCTTCACTTCCCCAATGGCTTTCAATGATCTCTGCTTGCTTCAATATTTTCACATCTTTGGCTGTGGTTATCAACCCACTCATCAATGCCACATAGAAGGCAAACCAAGTAGCGTTTTTTTTGGTTGCTGCTTCAAATGCCACCAGATTTCTGAAAACTACTTCCGAGAAGACATTAATGGCCATGCTCGGCATCTCGAGACACACTTTTTTCGATTCCTGCTCGAACCTTGTTAAGAATACGAATAAATTATGCTTAGACCATTATTATAGTATGGAGTTTTGTGTTCAAATATTTGTAGGGTCATTTTATCTCTAATTCATATTTGATTGTAACTGGTTGGACTTTATGTTAATTTTCAAGTCACACAAGTGATGTCAAGTATAGGAATAACAATATATTTTAATTTGTATTGTTTTGGACCAACATGAATATAATTTAACTAGTTAAGATATTTATCTTCAAAAGATCGTGAATTCGAATTTCCACCCCATATTGTAAAAAAAAAAACACATGTATTGTTTTGGGTGTTTCTTCAATTTACTTGTCCCAATTATCCTTTTCGTTTAAAAAGTAATAAAAAAAGGAAGTTTAGATGACAAATTAAACTATAAGAAAATAAATCAAAATTTTTGTCAACTTGGTAAAAGTTTGGATGATTATACCAAAATTTGGATGATTAAACTTTTCTATCTTGTGTGACCAAGTCATTCTCTAAATTTTGGTCAACTAACAAAGTTTAAGATAAAGTATAATTAAAAAATGTTAAAATACAATAGATCAAAATTTAAAAAACTCCTAAGTATTGTGGACTAAAACATGTATATTTTGCGATTATTAAATATATGGTAATTACCTATATATCAGTTTTAGTTTTTGGATTCAGCAGCCATTTAACAAACCTCATGCTTTCATGAAAGTCGTTGTAGCGACCATCGAACTTCACTCTGACCCTTTTAAGTTCCGAAGCTGATGGGATCAACGGCGGGCTGTCCATGTCCTCGCCCGAGGAAGAAGACGACGACCCGACTCTCCCAAGCAAACCAAACAAGCTTTGGAGTAACCCAGCAGCTTCACTCAGCTGCTGTAAGAAGCCAATTTGAAGAACTGAGCTCAAAACATTTAACAACTCCACAAGGAAAGAAGTACGAAACAGTGCCATTGCAACTGCTTGATCAACACTCAATCTTCTATCCAAGATCAAAAGATACAAAAAGTGAAGCAAATGGTGGGATTGGTCAATAATTTGGGATAAATTAGTATAGCCACTTAAACTCATGAGATCAGGCATGTCATGGGGAGGAAGTTGCTTGGGGGAGACAAAGTTACAAAATTTGAAGAACAACAGATGCAAATTGTTGCCAAAATTTTCAGGTAAAATTGTTTTAAGAACAAAAAGAGGAATCTGATTCTCGAGCTTAAGGATGTCCTTCACAAACTCATCTTGGGTCATCAAATTTCCCTCAATTAGATGACTATACAACTGTTGTTCAACAAACAAAGGAAATGGAGAAGGGAGACAAAGATCAGGCCTAGCACTTCTAAGCTCATCTTTTTCATCGGTGGAAATGACCAGCAGCTGAATCAAGAACAACCCATCTATGAGCATGATTCTTGCCAAGGCCTCGGACCCAATATCGAGAAAATGGTCGAAACAAGATCGGATTTTGATCTCCAAGTGCTTGAGTTCATCCATAATGTGGCTGAGTTCTTGGAGATGGAATGTTTCTCTTGCCTTGATTGTGTTGTGGAGCTTGAATAATTGCATCTTGTGGAGGTCATTTTTGAAGTGGTGGTACGGCCCAAGAGCTACACGGCGGGGGAAGTAAGCTTCTGGGTTGTTTTTGGTGATGGAATCAGCAATCTTAAAGATGGAAGTGGGAGTTTGTAAGGCTGTTTGAAGGTTATTTGGTTCGAGAAGTTGGCTGATTTGAACAAGCCAAAGGGTTTCATGGAGGGTTTTGGTAGGTTTGGAGTGGGGAGTCCATTGTGAATGGAGATGCTTTTTGGGAATGGTTTGTGCTTTGGAGAAGAAATGCATTTAGATTGGGATAATGTAGCAGAGATAAGAGAGGACATGAAGCTTTCTACCATCACTTTCATCCATAACTCATGCATTAATTACTTCACAGTTGAACAAGAAACCACTTAGCAATGGCATTAGGCCCACTTTGGAGTTCTTAATTTTTGTTTCTTGCTTTTATGCAACTTACTGCTGGTCAGGTATTATACATTTAGGGCTTCAACCTTTTAAGAAATAGTTCTAAGAAGTTCAAGATTATTAATTATGTAAGGAGTAGCCCTTTCGTCTAAGGATTTTGGGCTCTGGCACCATATTAATATATATATGGGATTCCATCTCAAAACCAATTGACAATGAGATGAGTAACTCATAGCTATAATAAACCATTGTAAGGTCCATTTTCTTTTAATGTGGGATCATTAACAAAGATGTGATTAATGTCACTCATATATGAAGGTATATGAAGGTTGACGTGGTGGGAATTCGAGGGACCATGTAGGATAGATGTGTGTTACTTTTGAATGGTGTGACATTTGAGTTTTAACCAAAAAAAAAAAAAAAAAGTTAAAAGGCTGAGAACTCCAAACGAAGATTGTTGTTGACTCGTCGATGACCATCAAAACTAGGAAAAAATTAGTACAACCTGATGTTGGGCAATAGCAAATGTCAATTTCATGAGTGACACTACTAAGAATTTGTATCTAGGGATATTTTAGAATCAATTTTTAAAGGGCAGGAGATTATACCGTCGGTTTTTGAAATCTATAGGCCAAATAAAAAATTTATTTTCAAACTTGGAGATAAAAAAATGTAATTTACTATAATATAATATATAAATGGTAAAATACATTTTTAGTGCATGAAGTTTGAGCTAAAACTAGGTGTCAATTTAGTCCTTTTAAAAAAGCGATATACTTCAGACCTCACATTTGAGAAATTGTTCTTGAGTACATTTTAGAGTTAATTGTGTTGGGGAACTGGAAACAAAATATCAATAGGTTGGTTATTGGGCCAAGAAACCATTTGGCCCAAACCAATTTTTCTTCTTCATTAAGCATCTGCCACCATTATATATGTTTTTTTTGTTTATGGTCTTCCCAGCAGAGAAAAGAGAGAAAAAGTGAGAGTGTACTGTGGAGCGTCGTCGAGAGTCCGTTCTCACGATTCTTGTGACGTTTTTCATTCTGTATCCCTAAGTAGCTATTATTATAGTGCTTAAAAGTTAGGCGGCTATTGTTTTAGCATCTAGAAAGTGTTTTAGACGAAGAAAGGTCATTGTAATCTTTCCATTATAGTGGAACCTGCATATTGCAGAAGACTGGACGTAGCTTCGAGCTTGGAATGAACCAGTATATTTTCTGGTGTTTGTTTTATATCCCTATCTCGTATTTCCTTTATTGTATTGATAGAACTGTGAGTGGCAGGAAAAAAATACTAGTTAGATCTTGTTGGATTGTTCTTGCCTGAGAACTAGTGATATTTTATATTACTGCATATATATATTTTTCCCAACAAATTGACTAATCAAATAATGACATGGTATAATTGAAGTGACAATTTTTTATTAGTTTTATATAATTTAGGTTTAGTTGCCGACTTATTATTATTATTATTATTATTATTATTATTATTATTATTATTATTATTATTATTATTATTATTATTATTATTATTATTATTATTATTCCTTCCCTCCCCTCCTTCCTCCAATTTCTTCATTCATTCTCTTGCAGGGCTTCCCTAGACCTATCTCCCACACAGCGAGTTAGCCATTGGCATCGTCATCATCTTCTTCATTTGCTTCCCCATTCCATTGACTGCCTTTGTCATTGTTCACGTTTTTTTTTTATGTGGATGAGGGATTTTTCTGAAAACCTGTGCTCGAGGGTTCTGGAAGTGGATGAAATTGATGAACACAATCGAGGGAGTTAGAGTTTAGAGTAGGGTAGTTTAAAAGAATTGGGGATCGGAATGGAGAAGTCGGTGAAAAGAAAGGTGGGATTTGAAATCTGGGATGAAAAAGTTCACTTGGACTTGGATTTGAAAGATGAACTGTTAATTAAATGTGTTCCAGATCCATTCTTGAGGAGGTGCAGCAGCATGCAAGAGTCAAAAGGGGAGAAGGTTGGATGAGGGGAGGGGAGGGCAAAAAAGAAATAATAAAAAAGCCAATTAAACCTAAATTAATATAAAACTAATAAAATTTGTCCAAGGGATAGCTTGGATGGCTTGGACTCAAGAAATATCCTTGAAGTCTTGTGTTCAAGTCGCATGGAACAATGCAACTCCACTAAACAATGACTTCTTGCGTATGTAATGAGTATGTGGACAGTACACATATCCAATTTCGCTCTTTGAACTTCGAGAACCAAACCGACACCTAGCTTAGAACTTAAGGACTAAAAATGTATTTTACCTTTCTTTTCCTTTTTTATCCCTCTCCCGATAGTTGAGTGGATCACATTAATTCGCATTTATTGAGTTTGGTCGTTGCATTTAAAACATTTAATTGGGATGGCTAAATATGGGTGTACGTTGTTCTGGCTAGACAAGATTGTTTTTATGGGTCCTAATTTTCTCGGTCGTGTTGGATGTTTTCTAAGAAAAATTTGGACGTTTTAATTTTTAGGAGATTGGGGCATATTTAGCACTTTAGTTTTGTTATTTGGTCCAAAAATATTCTCCGAGTTGGTTCTTGGGCCTTTTTTTAGCTCGTATTGGGTGTTTTGTTTGTTCACTTTTATGCATATATTGAGTAGGGTACTTACCTCATGTTCAGCAAGTCTTTGCAAGCTGCATTATTGTCCATCATGTTAACGACAACGGTACTTCAAGTATCTCTACAATGATATGATATTGTCCATTTTGAGCATAATTTTCACAGGTTACTTTTGGTTTCACCAAAAAATCTCATACCAGTAGAGATAATTGTCCTCGTCTATATAGTATGGATCATGTTCTTCCTTACCAATGTGAGACTTTATTTGCATTCTTCTTACAAACTCAACATATCAGCGGTTGGAGGAAGCTAATTCATTGTCATCGAAATGAGTCTGTTTTCTAGTATAAGATGTTTCCTACATTTTTTGTTGTTTGACATTTATATGGCCATCTTGAGATGTTTGATTTGTCATGCCAGATGGGTCCTGCCATTCTTCAAAATCTGTAAATAAGTAACACAAAGTATCTAGACTATTCTTTAGAAACACAAAGTAGAAAGGTTCAAAGGAAAAACTGGGTATTCTTACACAATCACCCATTAAAGAAGTTGTCAAAAGCTGTTCAATAGGAGGAATTGGAAGCACAATAGCAATGAAATAGATTAAACTACATAAAGGAATAACCCACGTTCAAGTTACTATGACCACCCAAGATTTTAGGACAACTAAACCAACCACAAACTGTGCGAATAGCCACAATAAGTATAAGAAGCACAACCACCAAAAGCATCAGAGCTTGAAACAAAGGACAAATATACCTCTTTCCAAATCTCTCAGCTTTCACTGCCCAACAGCCCTCGTAATATTCCTTGATTTCTAGGATGGTAGGAAGTTCAAAATTCAATAACGTGTCGTGGGACACGCCCTGAACAGGACTCATTTCCACGACACGTCCGAGCTCTTTGAACAGCTTGACGACGTCGTCTTCATCGCCGGGACGACCACCAGCGACGATCCCAGCTCGCCTGAGAATCCTAACATCCTTGGCCGTAGCAATCAGCCCTGTTTATGCAAGGATATGCACAACAGTGTATTTCTGATTGTAGCTCGAACTCGGCCTCCGGACCGATCTGAATACTTGAGCGGACCTGCACAAAAAGGTGAGCACTCCGACGATCAAGTCAGTATAGGTCGGATTCCCAGTTTAGTTCGAGGTCTGAAATCATCGTACCTGATCGTGGAGTGAGGTCCTCTACTTATGGGTGGTAGTCCCGCTAATCTCGCGATGGTTACACCCGGTAATCTCGGGACCGTCGGTTACACCCGGTAATCTCGGGACCGACGGTTACACCCGATAATCATGCCGCTGACAGTAGCTCACCTCGGCCCCCACCGAGCTTCCCGGTAGATCAGACCTCGGCCAGGTTCACCTCGGCCCTCATACTTAGCATCTGTCAACGCTAGCGGTGGTGATCTCGGTGGTCCGAGCAAGGCATGACTCATGAGTCATCTTGGAGCACCAATA